ATACATCTGTTTTATCAAAAGTTTTCTTTACTGAAAGAAGTACCGTGAAATTTAAAAAATTCATCATCTATAATTTCTGTTACATTTTGCAGCTTTTCAGAGAGATACATTGCAATTTCCTCGGGATATCGTGCAAATCCAACCGTTATATGATGGATTTGGCAAATTTTTCGTGGGAACTCCCAAATCACTATACGATTTGCGGAATCTATATGAGCAGCATAACCGAACATTGTATATTTTTTATAATCTCGGATATATATTTTACACAGCACGCTGGCATTTCTGCAAACTATAATATATTATACAAAACAAATAAACAAACATAAATTAAAGGCTATAAAGAGTCAAACGCAGTTAACAATGCGAAAAAAATTTTTTAATAATCTTACAAATAACATTAAGATGCCCCGTCGTAATTATGTTTGTTTATTTGTTTTTAACAAAAAAGAGTCCATAACTAGTTTATATAATTTTATTAAGAATTATTATACAAAACTAAACTGAATGAATAAACGATATTCAAACGATATTTAAACGATATTCAATATCAATATAGTTTGACAGCTAGTCAGCTATGCTGCATGCATGAAGGAAGATATAAGGAGACTCCACTCGGTCTCGCCAGTCTACAAGACATGAACCCATTTTAGGTTTCGAGTTCCGTTTCCGATTCTCGATACTCGTAGCGCTCGTGAATTTAGTAGTGCTGCGCATAATGAGTGCGAATAAGAGAAATGATCATTTCTCTTACTCGCACTCATCAGAATCGGAAGCTGAACTCGAAACCTAAAATGGGTCCACTTTTATTTTACGGAGTGGAGTCTCCTTATATCTTACTTCCTGGCTGCATGTATGGAAGAAGCCATGTCACTTCTTAGCATTTGAGGGCGAACTCTGATTGGTTGAAGAGCAGAACCACTGCGCATCCTCGGGAATGGTACACCTTGTTTTCTTATATCATGAGAGCGACCATGCCATGCCCCAGGAGACTTTACTGTGTAGACTGAAGGTGGTCACGAAAAATGTAGAGTTCCTCTAGTAAGAGTTAAGCCATCAGCCGGAAGCCGCCATTTTCTGGGACCACCCGACGCGCGAAGATTGAAACTGCATATTACGAATGAATTCGAAAGTGAACAGAATGAGAGTTATCATATAGGAATTGACTAGTGCAGATGCTATTGTTTCTCTTAGATGATATTCTATTAGCATAATACAAAACTTTCATCGTACACATTGAGTTTATATCTCAAATCTAGCTTAGGTTATTAAACCGTCTTTGTTCTTTATTTGATTTTACATTACCACTATCAGATTTCAAGTATATGAACTCTGTAGAGAATGTTTGTGGGTCTTTAATTTGAAATAGGTAATGAATAATTTGACGTAAATATCTATTAATTTTAACAGGTATCTTACAATTTATTAGTATATCACATAAACATTGCAGATTTCAAAATAAAAACTTCATTGCATAGAATGAGTTTATATTCGAAATCTTTCTTTTTGTTTTGAAGCCTTCAGTATAGCATATGTGATAAATTTTTTATGTAAATAATTATTAGTTTGAACAAAAATCTTATAGTAGTTGCAATGAAACATTCATCGCAAAGCGATTTCAGATTTCAAATTATCACCATTTAGTAAATCTTATTTAGTGAATCTTCTTTATTTATGCGTAAGGTTCAGCATTTCCAGATTTGAAGCGAAATGATTTTCTAATTCTAAGTTTATGTACTATATATTAGTATTCATATAGAAATTCCAAGTTACATTCAATTCTCTGTATTTTTTAATAATAAATCAAAGAAAATAATGATAATTTTGTGATAAGGAAACAGAATT